AAATTTTTTTGATGATCATAAAAATGTGCGCATTTATTATGTAACACAAACCCCGGCATAAAATTTCCAACACTGCTGGAGAGTATTAATCTTTATTTTACGATTATGTTTTCCTTCTAAGTTCTTTAAGAGTCCCAGGAATGTACATGCAGCCCAAATTGGTTTTGTGATTTCAATGGTCAAAATTATTCCAATTTCAAGTGTCAAAAGTCAAAATTAATTATGGCATTTTATAATTAAAACATAAGTGTAACCACCCTTTATGACATGTGTAACCACCTTTATGACAGTGTTGAAATAATTTGGGCTGCATGTATACCCGGGAAACATATGCTTTTCTATATTTGTACATGTAATATGTATTTTTATTATTATTATTTATTGTAATTCATATAAATACAGAAGAATTAAGCTCAATAAAAATCAGGGATTGATTTTCTCCAGAAATACTTGAACATGGATATTGATTGTTAGAAGTAATTTGACTTCTAGGTTATATTTGTGAATTTGAATGTTAAATTCAAAGAGTCAAGTAAAACTCTTACAATAAGGTTAATTATAAATAGAAAATGGACAATCATGCAACTATAGTTCATTATTATAAATGAACTTTCACACACTTGTAGTATGTGTGATATTTAAAATTGAAATAATTTTAGTCACCAATGTAAAGTAAAATTGGACAATCTTTCCATGAAAATACTTAATTAACACATTTTTCTGCAATGTTGTAACATTTTAATTGTGGTACCCATCTTTAGTTATAACTATAATCTTTCATATATGGGTAATCTTATATATAATTTTATCACTTCACAATCATGATAAAGTTAATAGCAGGGCATTAGTTTTGATAACTGGTGAGATCTAAACTATTTATTTATTGAGTTTCTGTTGATAGTTAAAACACATTTAGATATTTACAAATGCATACTAACATTACATCAATGTACTTAAACTAAAGATATCATGATCTCGAGTGATAACCTTATCAGATCTTGCATCAGGATGTCTTTTGACATTTTGAATGTTCAAGAAGGAAGGATAAATGACTTTGTCAGCCTCACCTGCTCAAACAAAGTCATCTGGAAAATATAAAAAAATTTTACACATGTCAATTGTAAGTTTAATAATAAAAAAGTGTAAAACTTACATCGGCACTGTAAGATTTACACAATATTACGTCGGCATCGTAAGATTTATGCAAGTTTATGCTAAATTAATTTCCTGATGATCAGTTAGCACTACATTTATAGATTTGTCTGTTTCTTGATAGAGAATATTGGGCTTTTGCAAATCCCCATGCACAAATCCAGCATGGTGCATTTCCTCAATAGACTTTTTAATCTTCTCTTTCCACTCAACTTTTGCATTAACTGCATCATACAAGCTGACATAGTCCTCCAAGTATTCCATTATTACCACTTTCCATCGCATAGAGAGTTTGTGACACTCAAATAGTTTAGGAGCAAATCCACAATCAGCACAGAATTTGTGCACTGCTTCCCCATAGGACTCTGTAAACTTAACAAGTAATCTACAAGGCAGGTCAGGAATGACTGAATTTTGTTTGGTTTCCACCACAAACAGTAACTTATCCTTATACAGCTGTTTTCTATACTCAAATTCCACCTGCTTGTGTTGATATTTGAATGCTTGATAATAGGGCCACAGTGATTGTGGACCTATTTCAGGCGAATTGTAATATTCATGAAGCATGTTATAGGTTGATTTGAGAGCAGTGAACACTTGTGCAATTTTCATCATTTGTTCCCTATCATATCAAAGCAACATTAATGGGATAGGTCCAATTAGAGGGTCAGCCAATATTTTACCATGGCTATAGATGACACCTGCAACTCCAAGAAATGGGTCTGATACAAGAAGCAGTTAGAATTTAAATAAAATAGTTATCATATCATACAAACTGTTAGTCTTACCTGCCAAGTACAAGATAAAACAAGGCAAACGTGTCTGTTGTCCTTTCCTTGTCTCTAGATACTGAGCTACTTTCTTCCCATAATATACAATGCCCTGAATATATGGACAGCCATTTCCTTCTCTAAGTTCAGGCTTCACTTCAACATTGATAACAAAAAAACATCCATCTCCAGCCAATGCAGTACCATCTGTTGTGCACTTATCAATACCAATTCTGTTGACTGTTATATTAAACTTTTCTAGCAAATGGTGAAACTCATCTGTTCGCAAATCTTCATTATGGAACACATCAGACATGCTTTCAGTAACTTCCACAACATGATCATAGGTTTCTTGTGTAGGAACAGCAGTTTGGCAATCTTTCACAAACATTTCAAATACTGGATGATAGATTGTGATAGGATTTCCAGATGCAGAAGCTGGGTGGTGATTTAAGTATAAAGGATCTTCACCAAACTGTCCAGAAGGCCAGCCTTTATTTCCTCTTCCAGAATAATCTGATGGCGAAGGTCCCTCTTTAATTCGTTTAAGATAGCTATTCAATTCATCATCTATGATTTTATGTTTGACCTCTGAGAATAATCATGACTTGGTTAATATTTATAATAAATGATTTTGCTTACAGAAAGAAATAGATATCGCAAGTCATCATAACTCTAATCTATGTACATTACTTAAATGTAAAGTATTCATTTCAAAAATTAATCTTACCAAATCCTTGATTGTTGTAAGTGTAATAAGATAAACAATAAACCCAGAGAATGAAGTGAATGGATTGAATAGATAAAAAAAATCATCCATTTGCTGAGAAATTAAATAATTTCATATCTTACCTGCTGCAATAGTAAAGAGGAAAAAAAAGAAACAAAACATGAATTAGCTAAAGTTGTTAAAAAGTATACCAAATAAATAAATGAAATAGAATTAACGAAAAATAATTTTTTGTATATTGGTGATATCAGTGAATGATCGACATTTTTTTATAATAACTAGAATAACCCAACATTTACATTTGAAATATTTACCTTTAACACTTTTTAATTTTTTTTTCAATCGTTTCACCTCCAACTTCAACTCTTCCACCTCCCTTTTCAAATTCTAAAAAGGATGATTGTTTGTGCAGAGAATAATTATATATATTTAGAAAACCCCCCTGGATATGCATTTTTTTTATCTTTTTATTTTATTATTGATCAAAAAATACATCTTCCTCCTTTTCTTTAAAAAAATTTTCACCCCTCTCTTTTACTTTGATATATTTATTTATTTTTTAATTAATAAAAAAAATTTCCGAGATGCATACATGCATATATATACATACATTTGTAACAAGATTTTAGATGGGTGGGTTGGTGAGTGAGTGAGTGATGGATGATAAATGATGATGATGCATGGGTGGTGTATGAATAAATGCGTTAGTTAATAATCTTAAAAAATTTTTTTTTTATCTTTGATCCATCTTTATTATTATCCTCATTAATCAACTATATAGCTCGCTCACTCACTCACTAGCTATTGAATCACTAACACTGTCTTGGACAAAGAAAATGAATTAAGAAAAAATAATTTAAAATTTACACTCATATATTTATTTACTTTTTTATTTAAATAAATTACTCATCCAAAAAAATAAACAAACGATACACTGTTACCAATTTTACAAACTAGAATTCGTTCAATGTCATACTTTTTGCAATATCAGTTGACTCTACTACTGAATAAAATTCTTCAAAAGAAATCTTTCCGTCCATATCCTTGTCAGCTTCCATAATCGTTTTATCAACAATTTGTTGAAGTTGATTATCTTTAAGATTATTGCCAACCATCATCTTCAATACAATAAATAATTCCCCATTGGAAATGAGTCCATCTCTATCCATATCATATACCTTAAAGGCAACTGTTTTTTTTATTTAATGTAATAATAAATTTGTAATCATTAGTATGTAATAATATGTAATATTGTTTCCTATGCAATAATAATATGTAATGGTGTGTAATAATATTTAATAAATGATATATAACTTTTCAATGCACATTCATCAAATTATAAATATATTTACTTACAACGTAATTTCTCATCTTTGTTTCCTTTTGAACTGAAAGCACTCAATCCAGCAATAAACTCTTTGAAATCTACATCTCCACCCCCATCTTCATCAAATATAGCAATCATTCTTGATGCTAATGGATTATTGGCAATTTGTGGAATAGAAAGAAATTCTTCTCGATCTATGGAACCTGACTTATCTTTATCAAGTTTCATAAATCTTTTGTAAAGTCTTTGTATTTCTTCGGCGGTAACTATATAACAAATATAAAAGGAAAAGGGAAAAGGGAAAAGGAAAGGTGAGGTAGTAGTGGGAAAAGAAAAACAATATTTGTTAGCGCAAAAAAAAACAAATAAATTAATTGTTTTAAAATGTCATTGTTAAAAAATTAATATTATATTTCTCGCTTGATATTTACAATTGCTATTTTCAACCATTTCTTGTAAAGGCCGTGAATCGGCTTGTCCCATTTGTTTGATTTATCAATCACTTTTTTTTTGTTAATAATTACATTAAAATTATTATTGTCATTATGACGCATATACACACACATACACACATATATTACTTTTTTATTCTTTATCAATCAATATATTATAATAAAAAATAAAAAGCAAACCTTTATGTTAATTCACACACACACTTGGAGAGTTCAAGTGACACACATACATTTTATATTTAATTTTTTTATTTGTAATACACAATAATCAATATTTGGGAAATTGAGTTAAATTACCCATATGGATACCTTAAAAGAAATTTATCCGTCATTTAAAAATGTTTTTGGTTAATAGGCATTGATGTGAAACGAATATATAAGTCCGTTTTAAATAATAGTATCAAAGGTATTAGTTGATTTCATTCATCCTGACTTGGTTAATAATCCATTATTGACTGGATAATCATTTAATTATGAAAATCACCGAGATTTAATTAATGGAAATGTTGAAAATGAATGAGGGGTATTGTTTCCTTTTTAAAGTTGTTAAATTAAAGGTAATTATAAAATATTCTAAATCGAGAAAACCAATTTAAAATATTTAGATGTTGCTTGCTTGGCTTGTTTAATCACCAAATCCATATAATTGGTTTTCAAATATTTATATAGCTACAAATGAATTTTAATGGTGGACATTATTATTATTATTATTATTATTATTATTATTAAATACAGTAATGTGATAAATTGTTTATTCGTACAATTTTTAAAAACAATTATATATTGATTGGATATACCCAACTTTATTGGAATGAATGGAATAAATCTTCAATCATAGTTTTTATAGGTAATTGTCACAGTAACAAATATATT